TACAAGGAAAAGGGGAGTTGTGATGGACCCCAAATTACCTGTGGGTAATTGATGCCAACATCAGATCTTTGCTAACATTTGACAATGTCGATACAGGCTGCTAGAACTGACAAGTATTCGATCCCCAAAAAGACAAAGAAAAGGAAAAGTTGGAAAAGTCTATATATCATTGAAACAGTGTCAATTTGAAGGCGGTTATTCCACTTGTGTGACTTACTTACATTTGATATTCTCACATGTCCCCCACCATCCACGCCCCAGGGACTGCATCAGCTCACCTCAGCTCACTTGTTGGGGCAGAGAGATGTGGCATACTGATACCACACAGGCCCCAGTTAGGGCCCGGTTCTGTAGTAGGCATGGGTTAGGCCTAGGTACCGGGTCCCGACGGTCCCCAGATAGGTCCATGTAGGCCTACGGAACCGCCGGTTCAGATTAGAGTCCGGTAGGCCTAGTTTAGACCCACCACACCCAACGGCTAGTTGAGTTTAGGCCAGGTATCAGTCCATCGGTAGGACTGGCCAGCGGTGCAGTTTTAGGCGCCACTTTTCAGATTCAAATTGGATCTGAACCTTAGGCCCGATCAACGGTCCAGACCCGAAGGCACTCAGTAGGACTGAGGCCGACCCAGCACTATATCAGCTGGGTACCAGCCTCAGTCAGTAGGTTAGTAGCGAGGATGTTAGTCTACAGGATTAGCGCAGCACTTCAGCATTAGCAGCGGAGCAGCGGAGAGGATCAGCGCAGCGTGGAGGAGAGATAGCGCAGCCGCAGATTAGTGAAACGGTGGAAGAGCGCCAGCCTCCGGCCCAGCCGCGGCCCAGTGCCAGCCCTGCAGCGCCATAGCTGCCTCGCACAGGTATCAGGGAGAAAGGCCTTGCCTTTCCTCCCTCTTCTTCCTCCTCCACACTCTCTCTCTCTCTCTCTCTCGCTCTCTCTCTCTCTCTCTCTCTCTCTCTCTCTCTCTCTCTCTCTCTCTCTCTCTCTCTCTCTCCTCCTACCTCTAAGTCTAAGTCTACTTCTGGGCTACCCCTACTGGACTACTACGACTGTGAAGGATGGTTACGAGTTCTGATGATACTAGAGATAGCGGCATTGAGACTGCAGGTTGAGGACTATTTTGGGATCTGACTTCATCTACCTCTGAGGATGTATCTTCACATTGTGAGGTCGATATCTGAGACACTGTGAGACTCTGTATGCGCGACATTTCGGATTTTCGTTACTTCTGACATTTCGAGATACTATTTTTGGAAACATTGAGTTGACGTCATCTTCCCTTTCCTCCTCCATTCGTCTCTCCTCCCCCCCCATTCATCCGTGTATGAGATCAGCCCCTGGCCTCTTCTTCCATGTTCAAGGCCAGGGCTTTCACAGCACCGATGCATGATTGTGAGAGATTCGTTGCAGTCTGAGTCAGGTTTCGAGTCAGTCCATGTGTATCAAGTCTTCCGCTGTATTTGTATCTACTCTGTATTATCTGGTCGGTTCTGGGAATCTGCGCCATACTTATGACTGTGTTTCACGAGTATGCAACAGAGATGTGCAAGGATCCACAGGCCCATCGGCAACCACCTCAACAACAGTCCATCGATTTCCATTGATGACAGTATTCTCAGCCGAGGGTATCAGTCATTGACGCATCTGCGCGTGGCCACTTCAAGGAAGGTGCGTTGTTTCTACTATAACTCCTAAAGCATGCATCGGGTCTTAGAAGACGCTCCCCGCTGGGCCCAAGGTGTCCCAGCAGTGTCCCATTTCCCCGGCCCGGCATTTGCTTTTTTCTCTTCTTTGTTTTGAGAGGTAAGCAGGTCGGACGCTCTCGCCACGTCCTGTTTTTGGGCCACGTTGCCGAATTTTGAAAGTCCGTTCGCACATGGATGTGGGCCGCCATAGCTAAGAATCGTTTTTCGCCCGTAGCGGCCATTTTGATGCGCTGGCAGCCGCAGAGTCCTGGCGGGACCTTGAACAGCTGGCAGTTGTAGCGAGCGGGGCCCGTTGGTCCTCAGGCGTTCGAATACAAGTACAACCTCAAACAGCTGGCAGTTGTAGTGCTCGTCGGTCATCAGGCGTTTGAATACAAGTACATAGCAAAGACGTTTCTGGAGGCAGAGAATACGTTTAGCCATAGGGCATCGCTCCGCTACTCCGGACACGCACAAAAGACAAAGAAATGGCTGTATCTTTCCATGCTCTAGCAGAAGATTCATTCTCATTTTGCATGGTTTGTGCGGCGAGACCTGTCATTGAGCTAGGCCCGTTGACATGAGAATGAATCTTCCACTAGAACATGGAAAGATACACAGCCATGGGGCGTTGCTCCGCTACTCCTGACATGCACAAAAGACAAAAAATATGGCGGTGCATCTTTCCATGATCTAGAGGAGATACACTGCCATATTTTGTCTTTTGCGCATGTCGGGAGTAGCGAAGCGACGCCCCATGGCTGTATCTTTCCATGTTCTAAATGTGCAAAATGAGAATGAATTTTCCGCTAGAACATGGAGAGATACACAGCCATGGGGAGGCTCCTGACATGCACAAAAGACAAAAAAATATGGCAGTGTATCTTTCCAAGTTCTAACGGAAGTGCAATAACCCATGTAGTACGCCTCGTGGAATCTGTGAAGGCCTCGCCAGGCCACACCCAGGTCCAGCCCAAAACGGGGAAAAAGACCCCAGCAAAGATTCAGGGCCTGGACGAGAAACAGTTGACAAAAGTAAACTGCCGGAAACCCCAACAGTCAAAGTCAAGTGTACCCAGCCCAGGCCGCCGGTTGGACACGCACACTTGTTTGTATGCAGGTACCCAGACAGCATCAGGTCCAAGGGAGAAGTCGGCAACTGCACAATCCGGGCCCTCAGCTGTGAGTCAATCTGGACGACTGTGGCGAAAGCACCCTAGGCCAGACAGCCTCGACAATTGCTACTTAAGGCTGGCCTCGAGTGAGTCAAGCATTCAGTCTTGCTATGCTGCTTTGATGCTGGCTCGACTTTGACTAGACGCTGGCTTCATGCGGGCGCGACGCCGGCTTTACGCTGGCTGTGCACAGGCGTTGCGGACAACGGGACGAGATGGAGGCAGCATGCTGGCACTTCTGCATTATGCGCCAGACTTGCTGAGGTGGCATGCTGATGTGGTGCTACCTATGGTCTATATGGCATGCTGATGTGGCGCTACCTACAGTCTGCATTGCATGCTGATGTGGCACTACCACTGGTCTACATTGCATGCTGACATGGCGCTACCACTGATCTACATTGCATGCTGACATGGCGCTACCACTGGTCTACATTCAATGCTGACATGGCGCTACCACTGGTCTACATTGCATGCTGATGTGGCGCTACCTCTGGTCTACATTGCATGCTGAAGTGGCGCTGCCATTGGTCTCCATTGCTGATGTGGCATATGCCACCTGCCTCGACTGCTGATGTGGCATTGTCCACGCTGTCGACATGAGGTGACTGGTTGCGAGGAGAAGGAAGATCGGCATCTGTGGATGAAGGAGGTCGGGTGCTCACCTGAGGTTGACGTCGTCACTGGAATCTGCTATGTCTTCATGGTCTTCACAAGACGAAGTGCCACGTGGCACTATTGTGTGTGATCAGGAATATACTTATTATCATTGTTGACGTGGAGAGGGAAGAAGCCCGGAGAAGGAGAGGGGTCTG